TGCACATTTGGGTGCATTATGCAAATATTTCCACATAGTGGGGTAGATATGTGGGGGCGTGTTAGAATGAGCCGTTTTAGGGGGGCGTGGCAGAGTCTTTCGATCGATAAAGAATATCTCTTTGGTTTTGAGACTTTAGTCTTTGCAACTTCAGGGATCTTATATATGCACAATCAGCTTGTAACACTCCAAAGAGAAAGGAAAACTTGAAATCGCATCATATGACCCCTTTAATGTTGGTTGTGTGTTTTGAAAAACATTTATACTGTTTTCTATAATAATAACAATAATAATAATAATAACTCCCAAAATGTCAAGTGATGTAAGCATAAAATGAAAAACATTTCATAACATTTTTGTAAAAACATTTTTCAAGGGCTTTTAAAGTTTTTTTTTTTTTTTTTTCAAAATATAAATTCCAAATATATAACACACAATTTATACAAAATATAATACAAGTTGATTTTGTTCATTTTTGAAAAACTTTTATACAGTTTAATAATAATAATAATTATTATTATTATTGTTATTTGATGACTCTAAAAATGTCAAGTGGTGTAACCATAAAATACAAACTATAAAATATTTTTTTGCACGTTGAATACACAGCATTATTTAAAAAAAAAAAACATGCATTAATTTATTTACAAATTTTGTTATTTTTGAATCATGGATATTTTGTAACAAAAAAAATTACAAAATGCTTCTCAACATTTTTTCAATAATTTGCTTTTTTAAAGTTAAAGTTTTGGCTCCTACTTTTACTGCAGATGCTGTTTCATTTTGAATGCTAGCACAGCAAATTTTGCTCTGTCTCTCGAAGTTTCATTTTTTTTTTTGAAGCAATTACATTTCTCAATACTTGGCATGCATGGGGTCCCATAAAAATGCCAGGATGTTTGCCAACTGTACTGTGTGCACACACTGGCTTTATACCCCCTATATGTAGGCTGAGTTTTCTTTCTTTCTTTCTTCTTCATTTTAGACTTTATTGTTTGCATGTGCAAAAATAAAGGTTTCGGGTTACTGGTTTTCAAAGCCAAAAACTTAGTGTTGCAGCTGAACTGATTGTTTCACATTTTCGTTTGGAGACAGTTGAATAATCTATCCATGATCTACCCGTGCAGCCATATGTGTAAATGCCGGTCCATTTACAGCTGTCTTTACGGCACATACTTCACCATAAGACATTTCTGTGGTCATCAGATGTTAGCAACCCAGTGTGAAATGTTTATGGGCTTGATGTGGAATGAAATGTTTTGTGACTGAATTGTGCTTTTGTAAGCATATATCACAGGCATTGATACATTATTAGATTAGCTAACTCAATAGTGCCTCTTTTAATGGGATTCTGTGGTGAGAGGGATATGGCTTCAAGGTTAGATTTATGGAGCAGCTGGGAGTTTTGTTATGCACATTAAAGGTACTTAGCAATTTGCACGCTCATGCATTCTTCCTTTGCTGACTAAGCTTCGCCTGTTGTTTGTACTGGGCACTGTGGGCAGCACTCTGACACTGAACGTCTACAACATCTTACCTATACACAGCTATACAATATTACTGATATTACAGTACACTATATGATATGTGATAGTTGTTTATTGATATCATATTACCAAAACAAAAATAAACACATTACCACCTAC